AAAAAACAAGTATGAAACAATTCATTTTTCTTTAGCTCATTATTCTAAATAATTCACTAGTAGTAAGGACTGACTGGGTTTATCCTTATTTCTTGTATTATGAGCAGTGTTCTAAAAATCAGCTTAGGCAGTGAAGGCCTGCTGCGATTTAATGCAAATCGTTTTGAAAAATCGATCTAGGGTTAGGCGGCCGCCTAGTCGGTACTAGGCAATTTGGTATTTGTTTTTAATTAATTGTGTGTTTTTTTTTCTTTTTTAGTTTCATGGTGGTATACTTATGAAAATGGTGTACCTAATTCGCAAGGGATGGATTGACTACAACTTCATCTAATTGGAAATGAATTAGAGCATTTTTGAACGAATACAAACAAAGAAAAGAAATAAACTAGATACAACAAGATTAAATAATTTAGTCATGACACGCTCCAATCCCGATGTCCGGAGGACAGAGGGATGGCCACGTGTTGGCTGACACCCGAGGGTGACGCAAGCCATTTAATGAATGCATATGCCAAGAACATGTGAGACATGCATTCATTAAATGGCTTGCATCACCCTCGGGTGTCGGCCAACACGTGGCCATCCCGTTGTCCTCCAGACATCAGGATCGATCAGGGCGTGTTAGATTGGTATCAAAGTATACTTAAGACTTCATTTTTCCATTTGGTAATCATAAACTTTCTTGTAGCCATAATCCTTCGTTCTTCTAAATCTTGTTTACCTCTTATCAGAATCATGGATCCTACTGGTGGGAATATACCTATATGACCTTGTTCTGGTATAATACTTGTTTTCCTGGTAGTAGCAGGCCAAGTCGTACTTATATGGAGATTGCTCGTAACCACGGCGTTACAAAGCTTAATGTAGTTGGAAGCCTGATTTCATTTAGGTTTTGGGTTGAGTTGGGTTTGGGCTTAAGAGTTACCTGGTTTGGGTCATTTCGACCTGGTTTCGACGTAAGGGAAAACCAGAGCTTCTCGAGCTTCTTTCAACTCCGATTCTCAACCCTAGGGTGCGATCTAAGTACCAAATTGAAGTGTAGGACGAGAATAAGAGTTTCGTACCTATTTCACTTTGTGAGCTGGCCGGAATCGACCAGATTTTTGCTCGAAAGCCACGGGGTCGCCAGAGGGTTTCTTGGGCTTTCTGTGCTTCACAGAACAGAAAAGAGAGAGAAAGAGAGAGAGAGAGAGAGAGAGAGAGAATCGAGCAGGGGTGGTGCTGCCGTCGTGTCATTGTCTTGATTTTTGGGTGTGTGGGTTTATGTAGCTCGGGGAGAGGGAGAGAAATCCGAGAGTGAGAGTTGACGGAGAGTACTCGAAGGGAATAAGAAAAGAAGAGGAAAAGAAAGGTGGGGGTGGGGGAGCTGCCATATGGCGAGTAAAGAGAGATGGAGAATTTGGAGGAAATTCAAAAAGGAAATTAGATTGGGTAATGGATAGAGGACAAAAAGGTAATTTCATAATTCCTGTTACATGAAATTACAATTAGTTTAGGACGGGGTTTCACAATCTACCCCCTTAAAAGAATTTCGTCCCTGAAATTACAATCTCAAATAAACAAATATAGATACTGACTCTTCATTAGTTCTTTTATTTTCCACGTCGCTTCTTCGACTGCAGAGTTCTCCACAACACCTTCACAACACCTTCACTAATAGAATGACTTTGTTCTTCAAAGTTTTATCTTGTTGGTCGAAGATCGCCACAGGTTTCTCAACATAGCTCGCATCCTGACTCACTTCTAACAGTTTCGGCTGAATAACGTGAGAAGGATCAGGTACATACTTCCACAGCATGAAAACATGAAAAACGTTGTGAATTTGCGATAACTCTGGTGGTAGTTCCAACCTGTAAGCAACCACACCAATTCTCTTCGTAATTTTGTAGGGACCAGCATATCGAGGACTCAACTTTCCACATTTACCCAAACGAACTATATCTTTCTAGGGCGACAACTTCAGGAAGACAAAGTCACCATGGATTTTGTGTATGGTTTTCCGAGCACACGATCCAGGTTTGATGTTATTTGGGTGATTGTGGACCGACTCACGAAGACTGTTCATTTCTTGCCTGTTCAACAGACTTACACGTTGGAGAAGTTGGCATAATTGTTCATTGATAATATCGTTAAACTTCATGGTGTTCCCGTCACCATTGTTTTAGGCAGAGATCCAAGATTCACCTCCAGATTTTAGAGGATGATTCAGACTTTAGAGGACATGTTGAGAGTGTCTGTTCTCCAATGGAAGGGTAGTTGGGATATCTATTTGTCATTGATCGAGTTTTCCTACAACAACAACTATCACTCCAGTATCAGCATAATAACATTTGAGACATTGTATGGGAAAACGTGTCGAACACCGTTATGTTAGACGGAGGTCGGTGAACGAGTGTTAGTGGGGCCATAAATTGTTAACATCACTAATATTAACATCTAGTTGATTAAGAGGAATATGAATGCGGCACTAGATGGATAGAAGAGCATCGCAAACCAACATTCCAGGGATCGTGAGTATAAGATTGGTGGCTTCAACCGGGAGATACTTATATTGGCTTCGGCAGGCATAGGTTGGTGGCTTTGGCCGGAAGATACTTATATTGGCTTCGGCCAGGCATTTGTTTGGTGCCTACAGGCGATGATACTTATATATGTCTTTGGGTGGGTGCTGTAAGAGCCTATGGGCAATTGATACTTATATATGCCTTCGATTGGGTACTGTAAGAGCCTACGGGCGAATGAAGTGTTCTATATACCTTTGGAAAAATGAAGAGTTCTCTATGCCTTCGGGCGATACTGATACCACTATTTAAGCACACTATATGATATATGTTTTACGAAGGTTTTATGGCATGCTAGGGTTTTTCGAAAAAACCTATTACTATAGAGTTTTCATAAAACTTTGGGGGTTTAGTATGTTGATGAATAATTATTTCAGTATTACTTATATATCAACTTAGTCCACTCATGTTTGTTTTGCGCCCCCTCAGGACATAGGAATAAGGCATATGACCCGACCTACGAGGTATTCTCCTATCAGTGATATCGTGCCATCCTCTCTGCTTTTGACATCACTTGAAATAATACTTTTAGTCACACATTCCGCTTGTATTCTGAATTAGATGTATGCTCTGAACATGCCATGCATTATCACTATCTTTTTATTGGCGATTGAATATTATTATATTATTTTGGTAAGGTTTGTATTTGAATATTATATTATGTAGTTCGAGCGAAATTTATATGCATGTCTCACATGTTCTCGGCATATGCATTCATTAAATGGCTTGTGTCACCCTCGTGTGTTGGCTACCACGTGATCATCCTGCTGTTATCCGTACATCGGGATCAGGGCGTGTCAAGTCATGTCCAATCCAATGCAAATATCATGAACAAAAAGAATTTAGTTTATCATCCAAAAATACTCCTCATTATGATTATATGCTTATTGTTTTTTAAATATCGAACTTGTTGGATGGATGTACTCTGTGTATTCTTCTACTTCTATTTTTGCATTTTATCATTATTTTATTATCCATACAAGTATTTTTTTTAAGTGTAAACATACACTTATTTACAAGATATATAATACATTTACATAAATCCGCCTCGGCCGCTTGGGCGCTAAGCCCTTGCATGCTGCCCAACTAGCGTCTAGTGTTTTTTAGAACCTTAATTACAAGGGATTAGGTTTATGTTTTGCTGACTAAGCGCAACTTCTATTTTCGTTATCAATAAACTCTCCGGGTAATGTCAAAATTTTCTATTTAAAAAAAAAAAAAAAAGGTAAGGGACTACATGTCAGTAAAGGCATGTATGCTATTATCACCATCCGCTTAAACCAAATATATTAATAAACCGAAATAGACTAAATAGTGATAATTTTCTCTAAACCATTCTAGAACATGGTGGTCGTTGAAGTTTTATAAGTTTTAAACGTTAGTTATATAATGCCCAATGGGAAAGATCAAATTGGTGGTTATACCTGTACAACGTGCAGGTGGAGCTGGTTTAGCCAAGCATGGTGGAGATAATAAAACAGTTCATATATTAGGATAACGTTAGGAAAATCAAAATTTCAAATTAAATTTGAAAATAAAATAAAATATTAAAAATAGGAAATAAATACTTTAATACTTAAGTAATAATTTAATCATCAACAACCACATTATTTGGTTTATAAAATTTTGTTTAAATTTTAGTTTCTCTAGCATTACCTTAACATATATATACACACACTGAGTCTCGAACAATATACATACAGACAGAGAAATATTAATGTATTCATTCTTGCGACCAGACATTTTAAGATTAACCGGCTTTCAGAAGCAACCATCGAGAAAAAGAAATATTCTTGGGGAAGTCAGGTTAGAAAAAGAAAACCCAAGAAAAAGCTCCTTTTTCTTTCGACACAAACAATCGCCACAAATTCTTCCAAATTACCGTGAGAAAACGAGAGAGGCCAAGAAAATCGGAAAGGGATCCTCTCCAGATCCCTTCTTCCTAATCCACTAAATCAGTGAATCCATGCCATTGAAATTTGATCAAACGACTGAAGTTATTATAAATTTCAATAACACAGATTCACTAATTCAGTGAATTAAGATGAAGGGATCCGAAGAGAATCCTTTCCAAGAAAATCAGAACATACACGTTAAAGCTGGATGATGGACCATGGGTTATTGCTAGTAAACCACGTGCCTAGATGCGTCAAGGTTCGTAGGAAATATCAGATCAGAAGATTTTATGATTTAACTTAATGTCTAACTCGACTTGATCAAAATGTATGAGTGCTTAAAACACAATTACATAATGTTATTATTCTATTTAAATAATAAAGCGTGAATTTGTTTTTATTAATATATCTTAGAACTGAACTATATCATTTATGTTGTTCACTCTTATTATAACATGTGAAATAGCACATCATGTGATTGTTATGGATACTAGTTGAGAGAAAGTAACCCCACCCTCTCCCACCTAAAGGAACATAAAGAGAGAGAGATAGAGAGGGTGTGTAGAGGGGTGTATTTTCGCTGCATTGGATCCTTCGCCGAATTTTAGGTTTTGAAAGACTTCCAAATTCTCTCTCTTCCTCTCTTTCTGTGTTTTGACATCTTGAGGGCTAAAATCCAAAGAAGCTGGTAGAAAAGGTGCATGGAGATTTGGTGGTGATAATATTTTGAAGCTGCTATTTGATCTGTAAAATCAACTGTCTTTTAATTCAGCTTTCTAGCTCATTACTCTCTTTAAAAATCCTTGTTTTCGTTGTACTTTTCCACCTTTTGGTTCCTCTTTATTAAAATCTCATTCATTCTCTTATTGAAATTAAATCTTTGTCTACACCAAGTGCTACAGCTTCTCCAAGTCAATTCCATTAATAATATCCATGGGGGGTGAGACCAAAATTAGTACTAATTCTCACTCGCAAATGTTGGTTTCTGAGAAAAATGGTGCTAATCATGGTCGTAGTCCCATGGAATTCAATTTCTTAGTGAGACCCGCATTGAATTTCAATAATCATGCATGCCAAATTGCTCGTTGTGAAGACGAAGAAGAAGATGGAGACGGCCAATTACATAGCTCAGAGGAGAAGCAAGAAGATAATTTCGACATGTTTGTGTCATCGTTGAAGGTCAAAGTTCCTTCAGCTGGAGAATTCTGTAGAGTCCAGCAAGAAGGTATTGGTGATGATGGGGACGTGGAATATGGGTTGAAGACTCCAACATCTTTGGATCACAAAATCAAAGGGGGCCTGCAATGTCCACCAGCACCAAGAAAACCCAAATCACTTCCACTAAAGAAGAGAAAAGCAATACTTGACCCCAGAATTTTTCTTGATTTTTCAAGTGATGAGATCGAATCGTTGTTTCCTCCGGTTGATGGTGTTCTTGCAGATCTTGGTAGTAAGATTATCATGAAGAAGAAAGTTAGAGTACAAGCAAGTGAAGGTCACGATCATATAATATAACATCAGCTAGCTGAGATCTCTATGCATGTGAAGCAATTTATATATTTCTTTTTAAGCCAAATATAATGGCGTGTAATTTCTCTCCGTATGTTGTGATAGTGAATTTGTGATCATCAGTGCTAGCTCTGCACTTTTTTATCCATTTCCATATGTAGTTTAGGTTTATCTCTCGATGTTCAAGTTTATCACTTGATCCCTCATCATATTCTTTCTTCTTCTTCTTTGGACATTGAGAAATAATTTAACTCAGATCTGAAAAATCATGCACTTGTAACTTCTGTAATTTATCAAGGGATGAGCTTTTCATAGGATTCCATTACTATATACTCTATAGCCTCCAATAATGCTTACTTTGAATCAAGACCTTGTATTATTTTGGTACTTTGTCATGGAGGAGATCATATATGATGTGCCCAGTACTAGCTTGCATCGTAGTGTTCATAGAATCTCTCTCTCTCTCTCTCTCTCTCTCTCATATTTCTGTGTAATGGATTGGAAGGCATTGACTTTACAGATGCAAACATCCTTAGCCTGAGCCTGCATTGTTTTTACCAGTTAAGTGGGTGAGCAAACCCATGTGGTATATTCCTCCATAGACGACAGAGACGATCTGAATCATCTGACAACAGCTAGAAATAATAATCAAGGAGCAAGTGGAGTAGTACTCCATCTCTCTCTCTCTCTCTCTCTCTCTCTCTCTCTCTCTCTCAATTCAAGGAGTCCTTTATTGGCCGCCTCACCTTCTCTTTATCAATGAACATTGGGTCTCCCTTTGCAACTAAGCTCTCAAGAAAGAGTACTTATCTAATATGGGTAATATCATTATCCTAGTATTTTGTGCAAATAATAAAACTAATATTTGTGAATTTTTCTCTGCATAAAATTGTATTATTAACATAAGCCACAAGACAACACAATAATAAAATATGCATCCGCTCTATGTAAGTTGTTTTTTTTGTGGTCTCCCCCTTTTTACACAACTAATTAATTGAATATAAATTATTGCAACATGCGGCCAAAATGCATTGTCTTTAACGAGAGATTTTTCAATGTGATCGGAACACGGGATGGTACATCAAGTATCACTAAGCAAATAGTGAGATATATGTGTTAAAAAGTTAATAACTTAAAAAGTAAAATTTTTCACTACTTATAAAAAAATGTGTGATATATCATCTGTATTCTGATCACAATGAAAAATATATCGTCTCCAACTATCAATTCCATCTAACTAATTCTTTCATTTCCACCCAAAGCCCCAAAAAGACGGGGGTGAATGGTGGGTAGGTAGATAGTTTAATTAGCTCTCTGTGTTTTTGCGTTGTGGTGTCATTTTTGTACTAGTTTTATATTGTACCGATAGCAAGGAATTAATGTTTGATCAGAATGCAGTTTTCTTACCAAGTTGGCTTTGAATCAGATTGGGTACGTACATACTAAATAAAAGTAGAAGGTTTATTGGAATTTGAAAATAACCGTAAGTTAATCAAGACATGTCCTTGATTCTTCTTAAAAGGGGAAATATTTTGTTTGTACTATAGTTCAAAAATTAATTTGTGCTAGTTGAATTCTATATAACACACGAATCGAATCCAAGATCTAACCAATTGTATTCTTTCTTTACATAACTATAACAGTTATATGTGGGTTAACATACGTTTATAATGTAAGTAGACGTTTATGGAGAACAATCAACATTGATAAGTGTAATTAAACAGTAAATTTTGATGATTATAATGTAATTTTATTAAAACAAATATTATAATACCTTTCTAATAGGGTACCGTAGAATTTTCCTTCATACATAATCTTGTCAAATTCTTAATTATAGAATTTTAATAAACAGTAATTAATTTCGTACGAATTAAGAGTATGTTTTACTGTATATGCTAATTAATGATAAAGTATAAACTTCTTGTCACTTTCTTCGGAAAGCTCTTCCCTTTCTATTGTTTTTTGTTTCCTCATATTACATTAAAATAGATCTTTTTTTCTTCAAAGGTGTACAACTAGTAGCAATCTACGATTATTCACTTATTCAGGACCCTGGAGACGCTATGGCTAATTTCATCCTCTCCAGAACCACAGTTAACTAGACTCACCAACTGGAAGCATTGAACCCGGGAGCTCCTACATTTTTCTTTTCTTTTTGGGAAGCCTGCAGTCCAGCGCCCCTAACGCTGGATCACTGTGGTTCATTAAAATATAACTTTCGTGCATGCATGTATAGTGGGTAGGTTAAGGAAGATAGGACGTACTTACGTATATGGATGTTATAATTGTTTTCTTGGAGGTTGGAATATATAGGAACTTTCCCACGGAGACGAAGCTAGGTAACTGATATTCACACACACACACATGACATAAATATGCAAATCTGTCTTCTTCTATAAGACCAAAATCGACGATAAGCTATTGGAGGTATCTGAGTAATGCATGTACTGGTAGAAATGAAAGGTGTTTAGTTAGCTAGCTACTATTACATGTCAAATTTCATGGCTCGGCTGCATTTTTTTCCTGCACAGGCACAACGATAACTTGCAGTGGCCCAAATTGCAGTATAATGCCATAAACGTCTGATAAAATGTCAGTCAGGTTGGCTAAGAAAGGCCAAACGGTACATGCAGTGAAAATCACACAGTGATTGCAGAGCTCTGAAAGAAAATTGAAAGGTGATGGACACAATTTTTTTCCCTTTAAACGTCACTGTTTATAATTGTGGTTATTTTTATTTATTTATTCAATCTGATGACAAAAAAAAAAAAAAAAGTGTGTGTAAGGAGAAATAGGAAGTGTATCATTTGTCATGAAATTATACATGATAATAATTAATGGATGATACTTGCATCCATCTTATAAGGTGCACCACCGTATCCAGCTCTTGCTATTAATGTATTTTTATACTGTATAAATTCCATAATCGAAATCGATCTTTTTCTTATCATTCCTAAAAGACGACCTCCACAAAAATTCATTTAAATCGGAGATCTTTTAGTCATCTATATATATTTTAAATGAATGTATGCGCAGTTCATCCTGAATATGTATTTTCCTTGTTTATAAGGACGGTAGGAAGGAAATACTAGAACTGAATTGTTATTTATCAACTCGGTGAATCAATGTTTAGCGCTTTGAGATAGTTTGTAGTATAGCATAGAAATAATTACAAGAAGATTCTGATTGCAGAGTGAAGACGACTCCAATATTGTTAATGATGGTTTAAATATATGTGTTGAGACTGAACTAAAATGATTCGAAGACATCAGTTACTACTCTCTCTCTCTCTCTCTCTCTCAAGAAGAAAGCTTCTCCCGCATCGCAATTGGATGGCGGGTGTGTTTCCGCTGGATCTGTGGCCGTTTTTGGGCCAAGCTTCATTATTCTCTGTCTCATAAAGGTAGTACTGGCAATTCTAATGTCTGTGTGAGGTAGATTGGCTTAATGGTTGTCACAGGTTCCAACAAGATATTGTCCGTCTTGGATCAAACTTACATAAAGTTTGTTTTGAATATACGGGATTTCCACCCCAAAATGTGTCTTACTAGCTAAGAAAGATGGAATCTGCATATGTTAAGCGTTCACCTTTGCTCACACAAACGATTTGGGAGAATCACCAAATAATGGTCTCCACAATCATTGATAGGATTTTTAACGTTTATGCAAATAGGGTCAAAATCACATGAAATACTTGCAAGAATACAAAGATGTTGTAGTGTAGATGTTCATGCAAGGTCATTCTCCTCAATGACTATTTGAATAATTTATGTAAAAACAATTCCTAATTAAACACTTAAAATTAAAAGTTGAGGAAAGAGATCTTAGACTTGAGTAATATTATAAACGAATTTTAATTAAAAACAAATATGATAAAAGAAAAAACTTTTAAATACCAATTTATAAAAGCACTAGGGTTCTACCATCGCCTAACAATCCTATGTATTCTTACCAATTACTTATGATCTACACATTCCACTTTGAAGGTTAAGGTTTCCTAATTTATATTCTACTTGAAACCTCCAACATAGAACGTATATCTAAGATGCAACTCATCCGGACGTTCGGATCAAATCTGAACATGAAAACTCATTATGCTTTATGAAAACCCTTTGAAAAACCATGCAACCCTTAAAACGTGGTGTTCACCTTAATGAAATTACAATTATTAATCACAAGAAGCCAGCGTCAATTTTAGGGAACCTTCCGACCAAAACTGCATCAAATTACTTTTCTAATGATCCTATTGGTGATCAGGCATTAAGACAATTAGATAGTTTTAATCACGGTGATCAATAATTCAAAGTATGCATACAATCAATCATAAGCAATTAAATAAAAATAACATATTCATGCTAAGGCTTAAGGCTTCGCCCTAGCAAATGGAATTAGTTACGCATATTCATAATTGAAATCATAAAAAATATTATTAAGAATAAAAGGAATGAAAACACCTTAAAGTAGAAAATCTTCAAGAACCTTAGTAATCACTCTTTGTCTCCAAAGTAGCATAAAAGAAAGCGTAGCCCCCAAACTAGGGCTGATTAAAAACTTAAATATTTCCCTCAAAGCCAGCCGCACAAACCCTAGGAACCAAGTCTCTTATTTCCACGAGGAAGCTAACTAATAATAAAATATAATAAAACATAAGGTCCTAATTAAGTTAGGATAAACTGCACAAAAACTGTCCAGCCACGTTTTAGCCTCAAATCTCCTCCAAATCCGACCTATAGCTTATTTTGTAGATCAGAACGTTCTGAACACATCTCGAGAAGGCCACGAACCCATCCGAGGTAATCTTGGGCTCCAAAAACGCAATTCAAGCCCCAAACGTCATTATTTCAGCACTGCGCATTGCTCCTTTATTTTATTGCCAGAAAATCATCACTTGGTAGAAAAATCTGATATTTTGATACGATCAAGTCAAGTGACTCACGAATATCCTCCAACTGGAATTCCTCCAAAATTCGTCCATTTGACTATGTTTTGCTCTAGAAGAAGACGAAAGTCCTATATTAGAAATACAATTCAAAGTATCAAAATTCTTCCAAAATATTAACCAAAGTATACTAAGAATAGGGTAAAATATATAATATGAAATTGACTCATCAGTTACCCTAGGGGTATAATGTCTTCGAGTGTACACTTCCGACTAGGTTCAAATCTAATACAAAATAGTTGCAGGTCATGCCCAAACATAATTGTCCGCCTTCAACCAAGGCCACACGGTTTCATTGGCTTTCACAAAAAAAAAGAAAAAAGATTCTTGAGAGGCTTATAAATTCGCCTAAATACTAGAATTTTTTCTACTGCACAACTACTAAGTTAAT